CCATCTTCACCTTTTCTTTACAATGAGGATTTCAAATAAGTCATGGCTGTATGGCAGTAAAGTATCGGTGCTGAACACTGATGTCATGATGTCGATGGTAATGATGATGATTTCTTCCGTTGTGCTTGAATTAAGTGGCTTTCTCCTCTGTGGAGGATTCTAGGTTTCAGCCGATTCGCAAGTAAATCGAACCGACACTTGGCAGATATTTATCGAGGTGAGTCCACAACGGTTTCCTGTTTTGCGAAAATAGAATGGTAAACATTTCGTCGACATCTCCTTTAATTACGGTTGTACTTGAAATGTAACTTAAACTTGAAGAAAGAAGCACTTTTCAGAATAATCTTATGTTGTGCTGTTTGAAATACTATTCCGGAGCGTTCTGAACTAAAAGATACTCCTAAACAGTTCAGATAAGCTTTTCAACACTGAATTTGCATACGGACTATGGTTTTTGTTAAACAGAATGATATTGTTCATACTATAATGTACTTCTCTGTATGTGTAATTTTTCTACACTATCAGTTACTTGGGTGGAGTGATATATGTCGCCAGCGCGCACCCTTTAGTGAGTTCGGTCATGCCAATGTTGTTTTTGACATCAAAATCACCGATCTTTGTTCATTCTGGTCACTGTGTCTGACCCGTCTAGAGTTGTTTCGAGTTTGCGATGGCAAAGGCACAGAAAACACCCTCCAAGCTTGGGAACCAAGCTATTCTATTCTCAAAGGACACTTTTGAGAAATAGTATACTCCTCGAAATACAAGTAAGTTTGACACCGGACCATCGATAGGGCACTCTATTGAACACTCACCTAGGGACAATACCACCTTCGTTTCTTGGTGTAATTTCAACAAGCACAACGGAAAACTGGATAGTATGTTTCCTGCAAAATGGTTGACAGGTAAAACTCTAAAAAGTGGATGTGAAAATAGCTGAATATTTCTTACATACTAAAAGTTAACCCATTGACGCAAATCTGATCAAATGTTTGCCACTTGACTAGCTGAATAATTTCAACAAGGCTGAAAAAGTTATTTTTAGATGCTCAGAATAAAGACGCTATGCTGTTCCACGCAGTCTACTACTCAAGCCGATACTTCAGTTGCAACGGGAGAAGCAAAAACGAATAACAACTAGACTTTTGCGTAGTCTAAAAGAGGTTTCCGGGAGAATGTTGTGAACCATCTACAGGTTGTTTAGAGGTGCTCTATGGTCAAAATTCTACCGGTTCTTAATCTCAAAGTGGTGCTCACTGCCGACGATGATAGATGGGACTGAGATAGTGCACCTGTTTTAGAGCTAAACCGTTTAACCAGTGATTACTCGCTGAACTTATGGGAAGTTTTTCAGTGGCGACGTCTGCGGGAACTCCTAAATAACATAAGTTAACTGATCTGCGACATTACCGTGTCTCATTTAAACGAAGTTCGGTCTCGTAGTGTATGGCCGAGGTCTGGAACCTTACCGAATTTTCGATCAGTTTACCACATGATTTATTTCATAGTCGAAGACCGTAGAATCCATATACTACCCAGGTTCATTTCAGATGAAGCTGGTGGAGCGTGTCCAGATTCCTTTGTACCAAAGTTTTTGAGCTACACAGATCAGCGTCCATGGGGAAACTTAAGGATTAAAGCAAAATGCAGACGAATAGAACTAAACTAATCCTGGTGTTCCGGGAAAATTTCGGTAAGCCTCAGTGTGCTAAATGTTCTTCGTACTTAAATAACGAAAGCGGTTTAAGAGCTCGCCCCTATATCATATTCCTGTATTCATGAGGCCCTGAAACTGGTTTACCGCTCATTCCTCTTAGGACAATAGGAATGACTTCTTGACGTAACATACTACTCATAAGGGTGCTAAAAACTTTTCGACAGCCCACAACTGGTTTTTGCCCTTTTTTGGACTCATCAGGTAGGCACAGTACCAAAGTTCATGTCAGCTTTATTCCCTGCTTGAACCCGAAGTGGACAGATTTCGACCATTGTAAACAGGGGCTCAAATGGATTCAATTGAGTCGCTTTTCGAAATCAAATCCGTGTCCGAATGAGAGTACTTGTTAAAGAATGATTCCTTCTTGATTGTCTGAAATGGACACCTTGCGCACTGGGCCAACCGAAGAGAAGCATCGAGCGTTCGCCTCAAAAGAATTGGTCCACGTGTTTCAAGGCATGGTCTGGACCATCTTCACTGAATTGATAACA